ATTACCAGGCACACAAGAAATGAGGAGAAGAAATCAGTCAGTTGAAACTGACCCGGAACTGACACCCATGTTAGAATTAGCAGACAAGGATGTTAAAACAATTATAAGCATATTCCACGTGTTCCAGAAATTAAGTAGAGACATGTAAGATGTTGGAAAATGTGCAAATTCAACCTGTAGAACATAAACTACCGCATCTGATGTGAAAAAAATATATTGGACTAAATTAATGGCAGATTAAACACTGGAAGAGAAAATGTTAGAAGGAGCCAGAAAACAGGACACATTCTGTACAGAGGAACAAAGATGAGAATGACATCAGGCTTTGAGACCATGGGGGCCGTGAAGGTCCCGAACCTTTGCAGCACTGAAAGGAAAAGCACCTGCCAACCCGGACCTCTACACCCTGCAAAAATGTCTTCCAAAATAAAGTTGAAATAAAGACTTTTCCAGATATACAAACACTGAAAGAATTTATCACTAACAGGTTGGTGCTATAAGAAATACTGAACGAAATCTTTTGCAGAGAAGGGAAATGACGCTAGATGGAAATATGGATTCAAGGAATCCATTCAAAGGAATGGAGACCACCAGAAATGGTAGCTATATGGATAAACATAGGAGAGATCTTTTTCGTGTTACTTAAGTCTCTTTAAAATACTACTTACTGTCTAAACAAAGAAATAAAAATAACATTATGTTGTAAGGTTTATAAAATATGTATATAAGGCCAGGCAGGAGAAATGGAAGTATGCTTATAACTGTATGTCAAGTGGATTAACATCATTTGAAGGTAGACTGTAACCAGCTTAAAAACTCATAAACTCGAAAGCAACCATCAATATAACAAAACAAAGAGCTATAACTAATAGTCAATAATGGAAATAAAATGGAATATAATAATTTCAAAAACTCAGCTCAAAAGACAGCAAACAAAAAAGGAAAAAGGAAATAAAGAAAAATAGGAAAACAGGGACACCTGGGCAGCACAGTCAGTTAAACATCCTACTTCAGCTCAGGTCATGATCTCATAGTTCATGAGTTCAAGCCCCACATTGAGCTCCATGCCAATGGTGAGGAGACTGCTTGGGATTCTTTCTCTCTCCCTCTCTCCGCCCTCCCCCCAAAAAATAAATAAATAAACTTAAAAAATAGCGAGTGATAGACTCACTTCAAGTTTGAAAATCAACTCATCCAATTCACCAAATTAACAAACTAAAAAAGCATCTATCATTTCAACAAACACAGGAAAGAGTTTAAGAAAATTCAACATCCTTTCTTAATAAAAACCAATAAAAACTCTCAGCACAGTGGCAATAGGCTAGGAATGAAAGGGAACCTATGAAAAACATGCAGCTAATGTCATAATTAGTGGTCAAAGAATTACTTCCCCTTTACTATCAGGAACAAAGCAGGGTGTCTACTCTCACGACACTTCTATTCAACGGTGTGCTGGAGGTTGTAGCCAATGGAGAAAGGCAACAACAATGAGTAAAAGACATCAAGATTGGAGAGAAAAAAAAAGACTTGTCTTTATCAACAGATCATCTGTATCAACATGATCGTCTGTAGAAAATGTGCTGAAATCCACAAAAAAGCTGCTAGAAGCAGGTAAGGTAGGTAAGTTTGATAAAGATGCGGGATTCAAGATCAATATATAACTATTTTAAAAAATGACTCCACGCTAGAAACAGTCAGAAATGGAAGGAAAAATACCATTTAAAGTGGCATAAAAATATGAAATACTTAAGGTAAGTTTGACGAAAGATGCGCAAGACCCAGAGGCTGAAAAGTCCAAGCCACTGATGAGAGAAGTTAAAGAAGTCTTCAATAAATGGAGAGGCTTAACTTGTTTATGAGGCAGGAGACTCCATATTGTTAAGATGTCAACGATCCTTCCAATCGATCTATAGATTCAATTCAATCCATATGGAAATTTAAGGGGCCTAGAATAGCCAATACAACTTCGAAAAACAAGAACAAAGTTGGAGGGTTAACATCACCTGATTCAAGACTTACTATATAGTTGTGATAATCGTGGGAGTGTGGGGTGGTGTCCAGACAGATCATATATATAGGTCAGTGGGACCAAGTGGACCCACACGTATATGACAACAGATTTTTGACAAGGTTGCAAAGGCAATTCAAAGGAGAAAGGATAGTCTTTTAAATAGTAACATCGTAATCAATGCACAGATTCAGTTCAGAAAGATAAACCTCAATTCGTACCTTGTACCATATGCAGGAAGGAATTCAAGATAAACCAGAGACTTAAATATAAAATCTAACACCCACAGGGGTGCCTGGGGGGCTCAGTCGGTTAAGTGTCCAACTTCACCTCAGGTCATGGTCTCACGGTTCATGAGTTCAAGCCACACGTTGGGCTCCGTACCAACAGCTCAGAGCCTGGAGCCTGTTTCGGATTCTGTGTCTTCTTCTCTCTCTGCCCCTCCCCTGTTCATGCTCTGTCTCTGTCTCTCTCTCTCTAAAACAAATAAACATTAAAAATAAAATAAAATAAATCTAACACCCACAAAATATCTAAAGAAAGTACAAGAAAAGAAAATCTTTGTGACCCAGGGTCAGGCTAAGATTTCTTAGATACAACATCGGAAGTATGATCACAAGAACAAATGGATAAACTGGAATTTATCAAAATTTAAAACTTCAGCTCTTCGAAAGATACTGTTATGAGAGTAGAAAGGCAGATCAATTAGGGGGAAATGTCTGCACAGCATGTATCTGTAGGGGACTTGTATTCAGTATATATAAAGAACTCCCCAAATGCTACAGTAAGAAGACAAATACCCAATTAAAAAAAAAAAAAAAACAGGCAAAGGTAGGAAAAGACACTTCACCGAAGATGATGGACGTCTGCCAACCACACAGAAAGATGCTCAACATCACTCATCATCAGGGACATGCAAACCAAACCACAAAGAAGCACCACTTCGCTTCCATCATGATGGCAAAAATCGCCACAGCCAACAGCACGAAGTGTTGGAGAGGATGCAGAACAATCTACAAGTGCTGGAGAGATGGGCGCAATCCCTGCATGTGGCTGCTGGGCGTGTGAAATGGTGCAACCCCTTGGGATAAACAGTTAGACACTTACTGAAAATGTGAAACACAGGCTCATCATAAACTCCAGCCATTTCGCGTGTGGGTAGTCTACCCGAGAGAAAAGAAGGCATGTGTCTATACGAACCCTTGTACGAGAATAATGTGTAAAGGCCAAAGGCTGGAAAAGAGCCTGGTGTCCTTCCCAGGGTGAATGGAATACTATGCAGCAATAAAAAGGCATCAGCGATTCACACACACCGCCACCTGGGGAGTCTCAGAATACTTATTCCGGGGAAAGGAAGCCCGTCAACAAGAAAGAGTACACGTGGTGTGATTTTATCTATCTAGAACTTCAGGGAATACACACCATTTTAGAGTGACAGTGTTTGCCTAGAATGGGGACTGGAGAGCGTGAGGAAGACATGAAGGACCGTCCTTCAAAGGAGACTGAAGGGTATGTCCAGTATCTTGACTGTAATGATGATGTCAGGGGTGTGAACATGTGTCAGAACTTACTAAATCGCATGCTCTGTAACACGCGTCGTCGATGGTCTGTGCATACTTCAGTAATGCTGTTCAAAAAACAAATGTGCAAAACTTTGCCCTTACACGCCAGACAAATCACCACCCCTTAGCTGGCGGATCCCTTGACCTACAAACAGATTCACCTAAGGATCCCTTGGTCGTTTCCCTGTAAAGTAAGACTCTGTTTACAGAACAGCACGCGCAGGAGGCTCTGCCTTGCGAGGGGAGGCCACGTTGCTGAGAGTGTGAGGCCCACGCCGGTACACTTTCTTCCTCTCCCCCAACTTGGAACTGCATAGAACGGCGACAAAGACAGCCCCTGGACACTCCCGGGGGACCCTGTCATGCACGGGAAAAGGAGCCCTGGCTCTGCCTCACTGTCCCCATCCTAGCAGTGAGCGGAGCCAGGGCTGCCCTTTCCCACGAACGTGTGGCCCTGCAGTGAACAGCTTCCAGAACAAAGCTCCCTGGCCATTGAGACAGTGCTCACTGTTGAGGCCAGGGTGTACTTGGGGCAAAAACGACACAAGAGAGATCACCGAGAGGAATTTCCAGGGTTTCGATCAGGGGGACATCACACTCCGCCACCCGACAGCATTGCTTTGGATTCTGGATCTGTGGAGAACGCTGGGCCATCTTGTGCACAAGGCCTGAGACCCAGGAGCAGCCCTCTCCCCACCCCCCGTCCCCGCAACCCTGAAGAAGCCAGCGGGGAAGCCCAGGGTTACAAATACACGGTGAACCTGCACTTTCTAATCTGTTCACAACAGATAATACATCACTTCTCTGATAAAATTTTCTGCAAAGTAAAATTCCGCAAGCGAGTCTCCGAAGGAGATGGGCTGCAGGTGGGTGATGGAGGTTTGGCTGCAAGGAGCACACGGCCGAGGGCTGGGGTCAGGAGGGTCTGGTCCCCCTGGGAGGGTCACCACTGGGACCTGAGCTGATTCTGCGGCGCCCGCCCCGCGGAGACTGGGCCACGTGGGGCCACGCAGCACCCCGGGTTCTGAAAGCCGGGGGAACGCGCATCTGTGCACCGGGTACCTGGCGTCCGGGGTGGGGGCAGCACAGCAAAGGAGGGAAGAGGAGGGACTGTTTCCTTGGCTGGTGGCGGTGGCTAATCAATGTCACCCATAAACAGCTCCTGTCCCCTCATTTCCCTTCTGGCTCCTCTGGTCCCCACGCCTGCCTTCCCAGCTCAGCTAGGGCTGGAGATTTGGGGCACAAGAGAGGACACGTCATCGAGCGCTAAGCAGGCCAAACCCTCCATCCCCTGGCCCCCGGCCCCCTCCCTCAGCGAGCAGGAAGCCCCAGAAAACCCCGGCATTCATCGTCAGCAGCTCCCGAGATGTGCAACATGCTCACATCTGTCAAAAACCATTCAGGAGGAAAAAAAAAAGAAGTCTTTATACCTTTTATTCAGCCAACTTTTCCCGAGGCACTGTGGGCTCTCTAAGAAAAGAAGAAGAGAGAGGAGAGAGAATTACAATCAATGTCGCCACCGCGCATCCGGTTGCTGACTGGTATTTGCTCACTGACGAGTCAAGTCTGGAGGAGGGAGCGTCACCTCCCCGGAGCCCAGGGGACCTGCCCAGGAGAAGCCCGGCACCGTGCGCACCTGCAGCGTGGCCGGGAGCCCATGTTTTGTTTAACGAAGACAAAGGAAAATGAACACCGTGGGCCTGTGGTCCAGATTTTCCTAACCCGTCTTCCCTGTAACTCTGGGGGTATTTTCGTGTGTTCTCTCTCTCTCTTCCGCTGGCCTCAAACTCTGAGGGATCCCTTTCCTCTCCTCCCTCGCCGCCCCTGGTTCTGAGGTTACCGGCACACGGAGATTTTGCCGGTCGTGGATGGTGGTATTTAATCCCAAACTGGGATACCACCCCCACCCGCACCCCTGGCCACTCTGCATGGACCTGTTCCCACCTCCCAGGTGTCATTCTGTGCAGGGTGGTGGCATGTCTATCTATTTTAACATCAGACGAAGTGGATGGGCTCCTATTGCTTACACGGAAGCAGGAGAATTCTAAACCCCACAAATACATGATTTCAGCAGCAACTACATGTTGTATGGAATTTCGTGAAGCTTCCATCAGTAGAGGCAGCTCAGAGCTGACGCCAGACTCATTTTACGGTCCAGGGAGCCGGGGCCAGAGAGACCAAGGCACTTGCCTAAAGTCACAAAGCGGAGCTTGGGGGCCTGGGGACTGCACACATGTGTCTGGGCCCCTAATCCTGGCCTTTTCTCAGAGGGCCCTTCAGACATTAGAAACAAGGGGTGAGCTGCTTCTGATGCTGTGTCTCCCTCTCTCTCCACCCCTCCCCTGCTCGTGCTCTGTCTCTCTCTCAAAAATGAATAAACAACAATAAACTATTTGTAAAAAAAAAAAATAAAGAACTGAGAATATAAAAAAAAGAAACGAAAAAAATGAATAAACATTTAAAAAATTGAAAAAAAAAAAGAAATGAGGGTTGTGCCTGTGTCCACTATGTGCTTCTTCTGGACCTAAATTTTCCTTATTTATGTCAATAATGTTTCAGAATTTTTTAAAAGAATTTTATTCTTAAGTAAGGTGACCCAACATGGGGCTCGAACTTACAACCCTGAGTTCAAGGGCTGCACACCCCATCGACAGAGACAAGCTGTCTGCTCATCATGTTTCATAATTTTATGTGTACGTATTGTGCACCTCTTTCTATTTTTTTATTTTTATATGTTTATTTTATTTTTGAGCGAGAGACAGAGCATGAGCAGGGGAGGAGCAGAGAGAGAGGGAGACACAGAATCTGAAGCAGCTCCAGGCTCTGAGCTGTCAGCACAGAGCCCGACGCGGGGCTCGAACCCACCAACCATGAGCACATGACCTGAGCAGAAGTCGGCTGCTTAACCAACTAAGCCACTCAGGTGCCCCTGTGCACATCTTTTTAAATTGTGGCAAAATACTTGTAAAATTTACCATTTAAGCCATTGTAAAGTGTATGAGACATTGGCACTAGGTACATTCACATGGTTGTGCAACTGGTATCTTTTCTGGAACTTTCTATCATCCTGAAAGGAAACTGCACACTCATTAAGCAGTCCTTCCCCCTTCCCTTCTCCCGTGTGTGTGTGTGTGTGTGTGTGTGTGTGTGTTAGTTAAACTTATCATAAACAGGATAAAAGCGAGTGAAAACCTTCTAGAATCCAAAGGCACTGAGACAGGCCTCTTTCCAGAGATGGAGAAAAATCACTGTCATTTACTATCCTCAACGCTGTCCTAAAGGGCAGGTACACACAGGAATGTGTCCTGCACAGTTTACGTGCCCGGCACTCGACCACAGGAGCCCCACTCAGTCCACATAACCCCAGGCAGGCACTAACTATACCTCCCTTTGTAGATGAGAAAACGCATGAACGGGCTAAGCAGCGGCACCCCCAGTCACGGGACGGCTGGCTTCCCTGGGGGGGGGGCTCCCCACGCCCCGCACTCCCTCGCACCTGCTAGTGCGAAGTGCCCCTCTCCGTGGGAAGTGAACATTTAGCTGCACAGAGCCTGCCTGGCGTGCGGCTGGAGCCGGTGAGAGGCACCGGGGCTGCGTTTCATGGGCCCCTCCCCACCCCCGCGGGCCCCCGGTCCCAGGGCTGTGGGCCGAGGGGGGACTCATCCGTTACCTAACACGGCGGGGACCCCGGCCGCAGCCTGGGTGCTGGTTCTCTGGCATGCTTCCCCACGCGGCTCGCAAAGTGACTGCCATCGGAAGGCCCCGCCAGATGAAGGCGTCGTTACAAAATGAGATGGACTGAATCAATCAGCTGGCGTCAGCCGCCACCTTCAGTTGATTTGGAGGTTTTCTTATTGTTGACTTTTCTCCTGGTTTCTTAAAGCGAGTTTTCCTCCCAGTTCAATTCAATTTAGTTCCATTTAATTCAATCCATCCAGCCCCAGAGAGCAAACAGCCCAGAGCGCGGGTCTGGGCCAGGTGCATGGCACAGGGGTGGGGTGAGAGGAGTCTGAGCCCCCTACCCCGCCCCGTGGTCCGAGGGTTTGGGGTACGGCACCGCGCCTTCCCTGCGCCCGCGTCCCTCCCACCCGACGCCTCCCGCGTCTCCCCCTGGATCCCCTGTTCGCCAGGCTCTGTGCCCAACCCGCAGGCTTCACGCTCTGGCCCTGGGATTCCCAGCCAGGCAACATCAGCGCAGGTCAGGACCGGCCACGCATCCCCACCCCCACCCGCCAGCCTGACCGCCAGGCTCCCCAAACAGTCCCCGAGTTCCCAGAAACGTCTTTCACGGCCTGAGTATCTTCACTTGGGCAAAGCAAAATATATCTGGCACGAGCGTCAGCGTTACACCTGCTAGGTCCCTGTCAGGAGACCCAGAGGCGGGGACCCACGTCCATCTCCAAAGAGCCTCTGTGGCTTGAAAACTTCGGAGCCGGGGGATGGTTGGAGGGCCCGCTGAGCCTGACGCCTCCGCCATCCGTGGCGCACGGAGGGCCGGCCTGTTATCCCTGAGCTGCAGGCCAGGCCTTCCTTGTCCTCCGTCCGCATGGAGAATCGCCGGGGTAACGGAGCCCCCCCAGCGCCTCGCTGTGTGGAAGGGAAGCGGCCCCCACTCCTGCTGTGAGCCGGCCACCCTCCAGGTGTGCGCGGGGCAAGGACTGGCGGCCTTGCGTCTCTGGGAGGAAGAGTGGCTCCCTGCCCCCATGACCCCCCCACTCTCGCTCGCCACCCACCCTGGCCCACCACCCGCTCTGGGGGCGTTCTGGGGGCGAGGGACGAGGGATGGAGAGGGAGGGAGGCCCCGGGAGCCTTGTTTGATGACACCGGAGGGCAAGCTCGTGGGTCGGGAAATACGGAGCTGATTCTCAGCCTCACTGTTAGCAAACAGCTCCCCGCCGCGCAGCGGGATAATCAATTATGGTGATTTTTGCCTGGATGATCAGGTCCTAGAGGAACACAGTGCATTAGGCCGTGGGTACTGGCTTCCCTGGCCCCTCAGCAAAGTCCAAACAGAGCAAGAGACACTCACCACACTCAGAGGGTCCTCGCCCAGCCCACCCCCACTGCGGTGGCCTCCGCAAAACGTCTGTGGGGCCACGAGACTGTGGGTGATTCTGCCCGGGGTGGGGGGGCAGGCCCTGGTAGGCACAGACTTACACAGAGAGACGCCGCTCTCTACCTGCAGGCCTGGGAACTCCCACCGGCCAGCATGGCCACCTCCTGCACTTGACTCCAAACCCCACCTGCAGAGCCTGGCTCGAGGCTGCCCCGCAGAGAGGCAGGGGCTGTTTACTGAATGAATGAATGATTGAACGAATGAATGAGTGAAAGAACGGACAAACTAGCCAGTAAGCATTTGCCTCCAAGGACCTGAGCTGCACTACTATTTAGAAGAAGGGATTGGGGGGCGCCTAGGGAGCTCAGTCAGTTAAGCGGCCGACTTCGGCTCAGGTCATGATCTCACGGTTCACGAGTTTGAGCTCCATGTCAGGCTCTGTGCTGACAGCTCAGAGCCTGGAGCCTGTTTCAGATGCTGCGTCTCCCTCTCTCTGCCCCTCCCCTGCTTGTGCTCTCTGTCTCCCTCCCTCTCTCTCAAAAATAAATGAACACTTTTTAAAAAGAGAAGAAGGGATCTTCTAGAATGATCTTTGCTCCAGGGGATCCCTGTCATGGATGCGATTCACCCGCCCACAGAGACCCTTCCCCGCCTCCCTGCCTGCTCAGACCTCCCGCACCCACCAGCCCCCAGAGCACAGCCTAACCCAGTCTCCGCCTAGTCTCCTCCACGCCGACCCCACGTGGGCTTTTTCCTCCGCAATTCTCCTCCTCAAGCGCACTTGTTCGTCTCTATTCAACGCCATCCAAACGACATAGGTGACCCCTTGCCCTTGCTTCCTTCCGTCCATAATTCTGTCCTTGAGAAATTAAACTGCGGCTCACACGCACTGCCCTTATAATGAAAAGAACCCGCATCCATTAATAAAACCGGTTTTCAGTGTGGATCATGCCAAACGATCTGCCAGAAACACTCCCCGTAGAGGGCGGAGCACAGACCCTGCCCCTCACGACGCCTCTTTGTTTGCCACGACCCCCTGCTTCCTGCCCCCAGTGGGTGGGCGCCGGGTCGCTCCACTGTGGGCAGGAACGGAAAGGCACGGAGAAGGCAGACCACGGATTCGTGACCAGCCGTGACTCCGATTTGCTGAAGGTGACTTCGTAGTCACCGTCTCGGGTCTTTGATGGAGCACTGATGACACGCCAGACATGGAGTACGCGCTCCAGACCCCAAGTCACCCCCACGTCCAGGTGAGAGCAGGGCGCTGCACCTTCGTCCCAGCCTCCGGCACTTCCAGGGGGCAGGTGTGCGGACAGCCCATCGTTCTGGAACACCTGTGCTCCTCAGCTCCAGGGGCAGGAGACGTGAGTCGGCACAGACGCCTCAGCTCTCGGGCGACAAGGAAGCACCTCTC